CAATTTTATATAGTTTTAATTATTACATCAATATAATTAATGATTGTGGTTACATATATTATACTAATAGGAGTAGTAGTGGTAGTAGTAGTAGTTATTTAAATACCATTTTTTATTTATTATAAACAAAACTATTCAAATTCATAAGAATAATTTATGATGATAGTGTTGATAGCGTCGATATACCTTAACATAATAAATTAACGTTTTGAAGTTGAACATAAAAATATTTTTCTTCAAAATGCGGTATTCAGCTTAAAAGATCTATAAAAATATTATTAATATTATTATGTAATTTTTGCTAAGGGCTAAGTGCAGCATATATTACAACATCATACTTAAAATACTCAACATTTATAATGATTCTCATTTATAATGCAATGAAAATTTTAGTATTAATTGAACATGAGAAACCTTAAAAAAAATTTAATTAAGTATCAAATAGGTCAACTAAAAATATGAACGGAATTATTAAAAATTATATTAATAATTTTCTAACAACGACTGAATTGTTTCCTTTAATTTTAAGTATTGACTACAAAAACAATTAAATAAAAACTATAAAATTAATTAAATTTGTAACAAGTTCCGGATTGGCATATATTGCGCCTTAAGCAACAACTATAGAATGTGCCGAATGAACTTCAAGAGGTGCATAACCTGTATGGTATATTTATGTATATATGGTTTATGGGAGGCGCCAAAGTCAATTTTGCCCTGGACGCCAGTTATACCCGCGACTCCGCTAAATTTTGATGCGATCAACTCTTAAGATACATGGTTTTCTTTTAGAGGTAGCAATTTTACCTAAATCGTTCAGCTTTCAACAACTTTAGATTAAATGTAAGCGCGACTTAAAATTAGCTTAGTTAAGAGTTAATTGAAGCAACAAAAATTGCTATTAAAATAAAACTGAATGTTGAAAGTGTTGCCATATAAAAACTACATGTTTTACTATCAGCGAAAAATGTTTTCAACACCTATTTGAACAATCTCAAAGGCTGAGAATAAAGTCAATTAACTAATTAATAAAATTTAGTGTTTACTATAAAAAAATGTAAGTGCTATAAAATAAACGATTACTTACACTCCACCACGGAACAGATTCACATTGTAGTCGTAGACCGACGAACGACCAGGACCGGCCAGTAAAAGTGCACATTCCGAACCCAAATGGGTGTTCACCTGTTCACCAAAATGATGAAACTGTGCATTTGCGCAGCTCGGCGTGAGTAGTAAAGCAGTTGATGTGAATAATAATATTCTGCAAAAAATAAGGAAATGATAATAAATAAATTATTTCAATTCTTACATATTTATATAGATATTCGATGAAAATAATACATAAAAAAAAATTATTTTTAAGTAGCGAGTAAGATCGCTATTGGATGATTATATATTAAATACACCATAAAATCAAAAGCCATTAATCACTTCAACAAATCAATGCTAATATATTTGTTGATGTTGTGTGGCATTTTGGCGTTCGCCGGGTGCTGCCATATTTCATGTCTTCGCAGCTTTAGGTCTTAAATCTTAACTTAAAGTTAACAACTTTTCTGACCTGCAAAAACTTTGATCTTTGCTTTTTGTGATTTACCGCTGCACTTCACGTTTTTTCATATATAATTTTTTTATTTTATATTTATATTTTATATTTATTTATTTCTTTCACGTATAAGCATTTTGTATATAACAGTAGTCTAATTACAATTTAACTGCGCAGATAGGCAGGTACCTCTGCCATCAGTCGCAATTAAAATAGATGCGAAGGTGTTGAAGGTGAAAGTGTATCTACTTTGGCTACCCGTGCTTTTTTATGTCTAAATTTTTATGTATTTTTTTATCGAGTGAAGTCAAATTTTTATGTATCTATCATGTACTATCATTAGTTTTTTTGCCTCTTTTGTTTTCCATGTAATTTGGTTAAACAGCAACTGCTGGTTAATTTGTAGTATCTTTTATTTTTAATATGTTATTTGTCAATTCAATTACTTTTTTAGATCTTTCACTTTTGGAATATATATGACAACCATTAAACCATGAATAATATGTTATTAATTTTTTAATTTTTTTATCTAATCTTGTCAGTATATAAATTAAGTTAAATTAAATTTAATTAATTTAAGGCAATTGTTGTTTGACTTCAAAAAGAAAATTACTTAATTTATTTTATTCACCAATTAAAAAAAATAAATTTAAGCTTAGTCAAAAATTTGGTTAAGTTTAAGAGAGAGTCTGTGATTAATTTCACGAAAACTACTTATAGACTCGATGTCCCACCTAAGAGTAGGACAGTCCAAAATATGATTCTCGGACCTCATACCGCCCACGGCTAATATTTAT